AGAAAACCTGGAATTGAAGCAACAATTTCATTAGTTTACACCGTTTACTCTTGTGATTCGTACGCCACTGGTGCACCATTCATAACCTTGGGCAGACATTGACCCACATCCAAGAAGGCGATTGATGGGAAAAGGCTTTATGCACAATTAAAAACATCATTGGCTTTTTGTAAATACTCGTAATGGAATTGCGGTTTTCTAGACGATTTAGAGAATAATACGCCGTTTAATTATTAACATATCGAGGCAAAGTGAAACGAACACTTACTTGCATTGCAATTTAATTTGTATTTCTACGCGTGAGTATTTAATTTTTATAACTTATGCTACCGTGAAAGAACATCTCATTCTTGTAACTTAAAAATATACATATACTTTTAATATGCACTTAACAAAGGTGTTTTTTATTTGTATTAGATATAAATTAGCACCACAAACAATATACTAAATTATAGCTGTGACTAATAGCAACATTTTTGCGGAAACTTTTCGTAGGTACAAAAAATGTAAGACAACAATTCAACCGATTTTGTGTAAATTTGTTCGCGAGCGACTTTAAACGAATCTGGTAATTGGATTTGATTCACCCCAAGGTAAACAGACGTCAGGAAGCAATCGAGTGGTTTTAATTAGTAATTTAATTATAATGAGTGTAACTGGCGATTTAACCCAGCTTGTGTGAGTGTGTGTGTGTGTGTATATTCTAACGCGTGTACCTTGAAATTTCTGAATTTATTAAAGTAATCTAATTAGTTGCTTCGATTTCCTAAAACCTCTTACTTTTGAAAGAGTATCAAGTTATGAGCGTAACCAAATCAGATAATAATCTGAATTAGATTTAAAAAGTCGAAAGAAACCAGAAAAATGGGAAAAACCTTGCAGATATTACAAAAAAAAATTACACTGACTTGACTTTATTTCTATACGTAAGTCATTATATGTATATTGTTAATTTTACACTTCATTTGAAATGAATGTATTTAAAAATCAGTGGAGCTTGCAATGGAAGTTCTGGATGTAATAATAGCCTCAAAAACGAGCCCTGAGGCACATCGCGTCCGGCAAACTCAAATTATGGGAAACTTTTTTAACGGTTTTACATTTCAGTCTTGGTGCGTCTAATAATTTTCAGTTTCTAGGCCAGGGATATTCCAGTTCGTCCGATTATCATACAAACGACTGAAAATCGTCAACTCTTGCGAAACGTAACGCGATTAAAATTCAAGTCGGCTCGAGTCCGGCTTGTTTTGCCAGTCTAGTTCTCATAACAGACCGATACGTGACCACCGGTAACCCCAGTTTTTTGCTTTGGCATTTTCTGGGTGGAATTACACACACAGTTTGTTTGAAAAATGATTACTTAAACATAGGCTTCCACGGACTTTCACTAGAGAGTAATTAACTGGTCTGTGTTTGCAAAGATTGTTAGCTCCGTTTATGTCGAGATATTTGCACAGTTACTTATCTGTCACTTATGAGAGAAAAAAAGTTAAATTCGATGAGCGGCGAAAGGGTACAGAAAAAAAAGAAATTTTAATTACAAACCGACCTATATACCTACTCAGTTTATCTCACATTGATCTACATATAAATATTTACCGACGTTGCGCTTGTACCAGTGAAAGGCATCTATAACAGATTGACCCGCATACTGGCTAGATCTTAATCCGATTGATGTGGCTAGTGCGTGAGAGAATCGGGAGATGGAACGAAGAGAACGGGTTGTTTATTTTGAAGGAACGTGCCGTGAACAGTCTTTGTATAGAGCGGAATGAAAAAAATCACTTTCGTAAAGTTTGAATAACAAAAACAAGCGCTGTTAATTACCATATGGGTACAAGGTCGCTTCGATTCAATTAGTAAATATTGTGCTGTACCGCCACGAGCTATAAAACAATTCCTCTATAAGCGATATCATTGTATGATTTTAAACGAGAAAAAAAAAAATGGTTTTGTGACAAATTTAATTCTATTAAGAGTCATTAATAAGTATTATCTTTTCAAAGAGACGTTTTAAAACAAATTATGTACTTAGTCGCATACATTATGCATACAGTAAACAATTTATTATAAACCATTTGTAATGAATACGTTATTTCCAATCGTTTTTTAATTAAATCCAAAACAAATTGATTACTAGCAAGGCCATCATTTATGTTGTCAAAAACGGCCTGTTTATATGAAAATTGCTTTATTAGTGTCATTAATAATGGTTTTATTTGAATAAAGAAGTAAATTCATGTGGATGTTAATATTTCTTTAACGGAAAAACCGTGTTTCGTACTTTATAAAAGCACATTCGTTGAATAAACATGTTTTATTATTGTTATATATTTTAAAATTAATATTTTTAATTCGATTATTAAAATTTTTAGAAAAAATTTTGTATTTGTTAACCTCTAAAACGCATATATATCTAAACACATTAATCGCACGCAATGTGGCAACCAAAATAGAAATTTGAACAGATTTCAGCATCAAGTTTTGTGTAATTTAATAGTTCACAGATTAAATTTATCTGGAAATTTCGGAATTTAAATGTGTGTTTAAAAAAAATTGCAAGATCTTATCTGCACGCCTTGTTAACATGATATATCAACCAACGAACCAACGCTTTTGGCGGCGGTAACGAATGTGAAAGGTCGTCATAATCTAGTGAATTTTTTTTCATAATCTTAGAGGGAAACGATTTGATGGCTATGACAGGGTCAGAGTTATGTTAATAATCATACTGACGCCTCTGTTTGTTCAAACCCAACCTTCCAGTCATTGTGTCCATTAATAAAACTAACTTAATATCGTTATTATCATTGAATTCACTACCTGGTTCCTTGTAGTTCTCTTATAACCAAATTTAAAGCGACGTGGATACCCGCGCCTATGTCATTTCCATTATTAACTATTGAAAAATACATTTTTGTTTACAAACACTGCGGTGTTCCAAAATGCAGGTATATTGGTGCATTTTGCTGCGGAACGAATCTTAGTCCCCAATTTTTTATGCATCGCGCTGACCACAACGAATGGGTTTGTACAATTACTGACTTAGTTGCCAAACGTAACGTTGGCATAGAGGACAGAAGTTGCAAAACATCGAGTTGCCCAATTTTTTCATAAAGCCACCTGTGGCGTTTGCTCAGCCCTTGTGTCTTACAAAACTAACTCAATTTGGGCATATAAAGTTGCTTCCAGCTTGCACTTCTTGCAACATGCACTAATATAATATTTGTAAAGCGATTGTAATATTTATTTTCATGTCCTACATTTATAGTTCTCTTTAAGAATGTGTGGCGATTTAAAAAAGTATTCGTTTTTTTGTTTCAACCTTAAATCTACGGCGATTCGAATTTGCCCTGACTCGAACAATCTGTACGTGTTTATGTATATTTTAGTAGTTTTACAAGATCTTTAGATATATACCGTTTATCGAAGTTATTAAATTAAAAAATAGTGTAAGACTCTAAGTTGTGATAATTTAGTTTAATGACATAAAAATAATATCTAAGTGGGACATTTCTGCAGTTGTAAGTGAAATAATTCGAAAACATGTTTAGTGGTTATATTTTATATGGACAATTTGGTGAATACAACAAATGGAAAACGATATGAAAGCATTGAAGGTAAAGAATTTCTTTTTTCTAAAACTGTCATCAAAAGTCGACATTTTCCTTTAATTTTCATTTGACACAGTGTCTTTTGTGTCACCTAGCTGCAAAATACTTTTATGTTTATGTAATTTGAGTAAAATGCGTTATAGTGTTTTTTATACATAAAAAATTTGTAGTCCAAATATCAATCAAATTCTAACCTTGGTCTGTGTTGGGCTTAAACGGTTGTAACTGAAATTATACGGCTCGTTTCTACAAGTGAGACATTAAACATATCGACTATTAATTATATTCTCTTTGCAAAACCTTCGTAATTATGATCAAAGATAAAATTTTTAACAGCCGTCCGTACTATTGACCCAAATGAATAATATAATAATTCTTTTGAAGCCGAACCTTCAGACTGCTTATATCACACATAATGATGTCAGCGAATACAGCGGAATTTTGAACATACAATGTTTCCTTCGAAACTTTGAGAAAAAAAAGTTGGTTCTCACATTGAAAGTGATACGCTTGTACAGGGTGATTCCTAGGTAGATTCTTTTAACTCTCTCTTTTTTTAAATATTGTGCTTATAAACATGTTTCTGGCTCCTTGTCGATCGGTAGCGTCATAATTTTTTTTGTTGTGAATATTTTATTAACCCAGTTTAAATTAACTATTAAATATGCTAATTTACTGCGAATGTTATCAAAATGCAGTTTCAACGCAACTTCCTCCCACTCACTTTCAGTGTATTATACCGCTGAAAACTTTACTTTTCAGTAAATGTTCACTAAATAATAAAAAGGTCGCACTAACTGCCATGAAAATAGGGAAGAAAATTTGTAGAAACAACAGTTTTTGTTGTACATTCCAAACCACTGAAATTTCTCGCGAAAAAATAATATTTTTTAATGCAGATAAAGATTACACAAACTAAACTGTAAGATGTTTATTATTACATCCATAAAGATAAATCTGTTGTGGCATTGTTTATCTGAAACAGGTATTTAAAATTAAACTGTAGCTACCGAAGAATATAATAGTATTAAACAGAAATTGAACAACCCTGTATATTATTACAGAGACATGCAATTTTTTAATAAATACAACTATTTGAATATCAACAATTCCAGTACTCAGTTTCCAGTTCTTGTAAACTGTCAGGGGATATTTTTATGGAAAAAAAATGACTGAAGGGTACGTGGACATTTTTAATGAACTTCTCTGGTCTCGATGCGGTGGAATCCGACTGCAGCGGGCCTCCTCGCGCCCTGGGGACGGTCCTGCGGCCTCAGCCTCTGGAAGGGGGGCCGGTGCAACTTAGAAAGTGCTGTCCCCCTCACCAGCAGCCATACCTGTGCACAGCGCTTATGTCTTATTTCGTTCCTATCTCTTCCGAGACGACATACGCCGCGAACTAAACTCCAACCTCCTGCAATATCACCAAACCGATAAACCACACGACCGGCGAGCCTAATCTGACCTATATGTGACCCGGTGCGGACGTCACATAGTGGGCTTCGAGTGTGCACCGGGAAAACGGACCTGCAGATCGTCGACGAACCTTGGCCTTAGGCTGGTCGGCTACGTCGCGGCGCGTTGAGGTGGAAACTCGAGTATTTTTGAAATTCTGATAGTGAGAAGTGTTTTTTTTTTTCTATTTTAATTTGGCGATCTAGTGCAGTGCGATGCTGTGATTAGGAGGGGGGTGTACAGTGAGGACAAGTGCGGAACTTTGCGTTCGTTTTTCTCGTAGAATTTTCCGGGGAAGATGTTGAATTGTACGGATCTGGAATGTATCTTGCACCACCATCACTACTACGCTCATTTACACCATCTCAAGCATGGGACACACGTGGAAGAAGGTAATCCTTGCAATTAGTCCACTATTATCTATAAAATTCACTAGTTTTAATCCTGATGATGGTGTATATGTGGCTGAAACGTCACACTTAACCTCTGGCAATATGTACATTTTGTTCTTAAACCAACTCGAAATTAGTTAACGCAATATTCTACATGTTTCTCAGAATAATTTGGAAAAATTTAAAAATTAATATAATAGCAGGTTTAATTAAGTTAAAGTTTAAATATGTGTTGTTGTCGTGGCAACATATTATAAAGAGTAGCAATAATACCTTGATAATCTTGGGCCCAAAATATTGTAATTGGACCAAGTGTATCTTAGTCCATAGTAGTTGCTTCATTTGAATTTGTTCAAAATATAGTAAAAGAATGCGAAATATGTTTTTTAAAAGAAACTTACATAGGCGTAGCTAGGATTTTGCTTGGGGTGGACCTAGGGCTGCTGCAAGCTCTAAGCCTCAAAAAAAAGAAGGCGCAGTCATCGACTTACCGATATGAGAAATATGATATTATTGGATATTTTTCTTCCGGGGTGGGCACCGAACTTTTTGGGGTGAGCCGTGCACAGCCTATCCCCCCTTGTTACGCCCATGGAATCTTAGTAAAATGAGCAAATATTTTTTTAAGGTAAAAAACAATTATTATGGATCTAGTGATGTCCAAAGCTTTTGACAATGTCACTTAAAAATGTCATCTTTTTTTCTAAAAGTGTGATGTTTATACACGCAGAAAAATTATAGGAGCAGAAAAATTTTCAAATTTTTTTAGTGATTTTTTGAAAGGTTGTAACTAAAAACTAAATAATGGTCTTGTCGAAGAAAAAGTAGCATCTTGAAGCATGAAGATTCTAATTTCGGAATCTTGGGATGAAAAATTTTTTGAGCATAGCTCTCTCGATGCAATCAAAAGAAATAATGGAAGGGAAAAAAAATTTACAATTTTTTTTTTCAAAATTGTACAATGGGTTCAGAAAATTTTTCTCTGGCTTAATCAATTAGCTTCAATTTGTTTTTTTTTATTTTCTGTGCGTTTATTTCTCATTAAGATATCGGCTATTGAGAGAAAAGTTACCTTTTTTTTGATTATCGGTATCTCATGAACTAATAATCGTACAACGACCGGAAGGTGGGTTTTAAAAACCTGAATCAATCCTTTTCAAGGGCCTTTTGGTATGTTTGAGAAAAAAAATTATACTTAGTATTAATTTGAAAGAGAGCAAAAATTACTTTTTCTGTCGTTTTGGAAAATAAACATCAATTAATTAATGATTAAGAAACAAATTTTTTTGGGTTATTTTTCTCACAATATCGCGTTAAATACTCATCAGATATCGAAAAAAAATCTAAATTTTGAAAAAAAATTCAATTATGAAAAAAAAACAATTTTTCATAATTTTTCAAAATTTTTTTGCGTCTTCATTTTTACAATTCTACATTAAACATTTCAAATGTCCAGAAAAAAAAATCCTGAAATTCCTGAAATTTTAAACAAAAGACGATATTTTTTCAAAATTTAGATTTTTTTTTCGATATTTTATGTTTGTTTAACGCGAAATTGTAAGAAAAGTAACGCAAAAAAAATTGTTTTTCTTGTGGTTAGATATCTAGATTTCCATTATTGAAGAACGTTGTTACATTTGATAAAATTTTAGTTTTTCCTCATTTATTATGATGAAATCTGCCGTGGAAAATCGAACAGATCCCGAAATCTACCTTTCAACAAAACGCGGAGCCTTGGAAATAGAGCCAAGTAACTCCGTACTTCACCTTGAGCCGAAGGTAAATCCGCACCGCTACGCCCAAAGGTAAAGCGGGTTCAAAATGTCTAGGTGAGCTATTCGAATAAGTCGAAATCAGTGAAAGTAGTCCAGCATCCGCGGTGGCGTGTGTGAAGTGATAAGCTTCGGTTTCAAAATGTAAATATTGTCGCGGTATCAAGGCGATTAACAAATTTGTCCTTTACCTCGCTATAAACAAACAACTTACAACGAGATTATTGTAACATATCGACGATATAAAAAGTCGGTAGGATTCGTTGCGCTCTAGTTTTCACATTCCTTTACGTTCTATGCAAAATTGTATGTGGGACTTTGATGCACTTTTAGAAAAACAATAGATATACACAAGGGAAGAATATACTCGGACATATATCGTGGCTATGAGTTTATTCTCAGTCCTAACTTACATAGAGGAGTATACCTGGGACAACTATCTTTATCTGTTTGCAAATAGCCTCCTGCATTTTTATGAAACCATTAGCATTTGCAAATTCGTAACTAATTGTGTGTTAATCGTATGACCAGCAAATGCTTGGAATTCTCACAATCACTTCCTTATGCGAACGTTCTATAGGTGTTAGAGTACACTGGGAAAAATTTAAGCGAGATTTAATTTTCAAACGCTGTGCGCTCACCAGTTGAAAAATAAATGATGTAAATTACCTACCATTTCCAGTTATCTATTTAAAATTCCTCGTGGTCTTAGAGTGATTAATTTTCGCATAATTCGTCATACTCTGAGTCAGGGATGAATAATATACACGAAACGTAAAATATGAATTAAGTATGTTCGTATAAAATCAACGGTACAGTTTTTTTTACGAAAAAAATCATTGTTTTAAGCAAATATTGCTGAAAAAGAAAACAATTTTTATTTTTCGGAATTTGGTAGTGACAACGTATTTATCTCAAATAAAATACGACTGCAAAAAAACTAGGTTAAACGTAAAACGTTGATCGATGTTTTGCATAATGCAAATCTCAGCATCAGATTCTTATTGAATTTTGAGATAATGACATGTTATTACCGCCTAACAGTTCGATGAAAGTAGGTTAAATCTGTTCTATGCACTTTTCTCGAGGCGAGTTTGTCATTTGTTCAACTGAAAAAAAAACTCAACTAGATAAGCATCGAAATGTATGTGTAATTGTTCGTCTTTGCTCAAGTTATTGTTACAGCAATGGTATGTCTTTATCTTGTAATTACACTGATAAAAATTTTGTTAAAAATGTGCCACAATTACATTTTCATCCTCTTAAAAACCGTATTAACCTAGAACTTCTTTAAATGTGAGGACTAATTAAATAAACCATATGTACTATCTAAGACAAATGAGATACATTTTCCTCCATAAAATTGACTTCTAATATAAAGTAATTAAGTAAAAGGAAAAACATTCTTTATGTATTTACTGGGAGAAGATTTTTTCTGGATGAAAATTTCGCCCCAGTTCTGGCATCCTTTTAAGGTAAAACGCAATACTCAATAATTACGCCGCAAATGAATCTACACATACCTACTGAACAGCTAGCACACTTCTCTACAAACATGATTAAACTAATCGGTCGAGTCAAATTACACATTTATTCGTATATTTGCTTCAAATGTAGTAAAAACGTATAAATGATTAATATTAACACGTTTTAAAATGCAAAAATATAAAGTAAAAGGTAAGAAAACATCTCAAAAAGAATATTTATACGCAAGCATGTACCTAATTCAATACAATGTATCATTTCCACAATTTTGATCAGTGTAGCACACATACACACGTACATGCTTGTTTCCTTCATTTTTACACTTCCGTTTCTGCATTCCCGCGTCTCACAAATTAAATGTTATTGTTCTAAGCACAATCTAAGGCTAATCGTGTGTTTGTAAGAACCTAGAAGGCCGCGTATTCCCCACATTCGTCTCGGAAAAGGTTCGATGTTATCTTTTTCGGTTAGATTTGCATGAGTTACCTTACTTGTTGACTTTACAAGAAGGATTGTTAGATAATTCTGTCGTTTACATACTTAGTACCCTTTGATCTGGACAAAGGACAAAGGATTCGAAAATCCAAATAGTAAAAATTATTAGATGTAATTATCTACGCATGTAATTTGTTGTCTGATTTTAAATGCTGTGTCTGAGAAAATTCGTATCCAAAGTAATGTACGGGTCGGTTTAAAGTTTAAAGTCCAGTTGAGCATATACTGTTTTTCGTGTCTTATTGTTACTTATCTTTGGTTTTTATCTTCGGTTGGTTATCTCTCCAGCATACTTGATCTAGATATTTCAAATTCCATTGTACGGTATCTGCTGTTGCACAAAGCACATTTACAACTCGTTTCTAGAATGGTAAGTTCGGCCACTAAATTTGAAGTAATTTACTGGAAATAATAACGATGACATGGCATAGCCATAATAACCTACTTGTACCTAACATATTTTAATGATACAAACATTTCTCGGTAACTTCTTGTGCGTCAGTCGGAGACATTTATATTCGACTGCCTTGGTAGAGACAAAACAAAAAATCGTCGTCTGTCATTTCCGCCGTGTTGTTTATTGCTCTCCGGGATAGAACAAAAGTCTATTAGCGCAGATTTTCTGACATTGGAAGTAGCTTCGATATATTTAAAAAGCGACAACAAAGTGAACCTTGAGATTAGCACTGGTGCTTCTTATAAGGATCCCCTTGTACGTTGGATTGTTTAGTAATTTTGCTTCGACATTTTCAAATCGGTTACCCACAGAGGCGTAACCAATTACTAAGTGTAAACTACAAAGAAAGACAGAAGCCGGGTTCGTTTTTATGCTTTAAAAAATTTGTTTACACGGTGTCGAAGTACTTTCTTGTAGATTAAGTGTTAAAATTCGTTCAAAGATAGAATTTGTTGAATAAAAGATCTTCACGGGCGTTTAAAATACCATTTTTTCGTATTTTCAACATTTTATAACAATCCGTTTATGTGGGACTGCTATTCCAAATTTGTGATGGGTATTACAAAAGTATTGCGATCATCGTTGAGCGTCGTGACTGTAAATGCTAAAAAAGAAAGTTTCAGAGCCCACGACATCGGTTTGGCGAGCTGAATCTAGAACAGGATTATCATAAATCATGTTTTAAAGAAAGTTCAATGCCACCTTCGATTAGATAGTGCGATATTGTACACAAATAATTAAATGTTGTCGATATAACCTCTCACAAATTGTTTTATTGTAAACATCGCAGC